TCCCGACCTCCGCTCCGGGCTCCCGGAACTCCGAACTCCGACTTCCGGAGCCCTACTTCCCTTCCGTCACCTTCTCCTTGCCGACTCCCAAGAGGTTATCCCACCTCCGGCTCGGACACCACCTTCGGTCCGACTCCGGAACATTCCGGGTCCGACCCCAACCTCGACACCTTCCAGACGAGTACGCAAAACCTATGCTCCCGACTCCGGACCTCCGCTCTGGTATCCCGTTCACGTCTCGTCTCCGGAACCTCTGGTCTTAGCTCCGACCTCGGACTTTGACCCCACCTCCGCTTATACCCATCGTATTGGTTAGCTCATTCCATTTAATTACCTTTGCCAATATTCCGGAGTTTAACCTCCGAGTTTGGACTTTCCGGACTTACTCCGGACCTTGCAACTATTGCATTGTCCATTTCAATTCCGCTATTCTCCCTCATTCCTATTTGGGCTGCTGCTTCCTTTCTATTCAGTCAGCTAGCCATTCCCGACTCCCATCCTCCTTCCTTCCTTCTTGGGCCTTGGCCCTTCATTCCTCCTTTGGGAAACACCATTGAGTCAAACACTTGACCCTCGGTGTTGTTCCTCTTTCCATCTCCCTTTGTCTCCTTTTGTCCTACCCTTGTTCCTTTTGATTCCGGACCCCTCCTTATATACAATGTACCTAGTAACTTGTAACCTCAGTCCGAAATCGACATGAATTCCCCCAAGAGACTTTCCCTCTGCTAGATCCGAAATTAGGGACCCCTAGGACAACCAGCAATGGCACAGCGCTCCGCCTGAGTCGCTGAGGCCGAGGTCCTTCCACGCTAAGTCTCCGATTCCACTCCGGAGTCGTCCGAATCCGCCCATTCTAACACATAGTGTTATAATTGTGGTGTTATAACTTATAATTGCCGCATTGCAGCCTGACCTCTCTCTGAGTGCGATATCACAATGTCAATAGATATCGCACTCAGCTCTACACATCATACTTATATACATCTCTGTGTGGCACAAATGAACAAGGCTAAAGCATTAGGACAACAAAACTTCCCATAAAAATCATAACAACAAGGGCATCCGAATGCCACTTCAACACTTCCCCTCATTCCGATGACCATACATTCCTCCAGTTCTGTTGGCAGGACATATCAAAGTCGCATGCAGCAGTGGTGGCCATGGGTGCATAGATCAGGAAGTGTAGCAGGCATGTTCAGTGGGGGAATGGTGACATCAGCATGTACAGTGATGAGCAGGAATGGGTAGGAAAATGGGTAGTGGCAGACAAGACATCATGTTTCGATTGGAAGAACAAGCAGTGTCAAAACACAGACAGACAGCCAGCAAAATGCAGCTAGCATCGGCAGCCTACAGGGTAATTTTCAGAGATTACACTCAAGTCACCCAACTGGCAAGGCAGGGTGATGTCAACACAGGCAGTGCATGAGCAAGCAGCTAGCAAACACAACTAGCAAGGTGGTGTTGACATCGGCAGTGAAAATCGCAAGCCCAACGGCAGGGCACAGGGCAGTTACAGAGCTTTATCCTCAAGTGCCCAACATTTGATCACAAGCCCACACAGAACAGTCCAATCATCGGTGAGGTTACAGGACACTCCGATCGCTGTAAGCAGGGTGGCATAATACATCAGCGCATCATCTGCAGTGCGTTTCGATTTTCCCTTCAGCAACATTGGGTTTCTACCAACTCTTCCCTCAACACGATGTCCTGGCCTTTCCTACTTCAACAACATCGGGTTGCTACATCAACCCTTCCCCTCAACCCGACATCCATACATCTCACTTTCTCCACTGTGGTGTCAACAGGCACAGGTGATGCGGGTACAGCAACTCGACAATGAGGGGGGAATGGCAAGAGGGACAGTGGAACAACGGGCAGTGACAGTGCTGACACACAGACAGTGGACAGTGGAAACAGCAGGGGGGACAGTGCAGAGAATGGCACAGACAGCGCTTGAGCAACACAGCAATACTTCCCCTTGCTCAAAGTGCCTATAGCGTACAGCGAGTACAGCCCACAGTGACAGCGCTATTACAGCGCATAAACAGGTCTAGATGACTAGATGACAACAGCACAGTGGTGCTTATCGTCAATGGGCCTCCTCAAACACAGGGAAATCATACAGCAAGTATGACACAGATACGAGCGGGGTGATGGCCGACAGCACTGGTGCAGTGTGCATGACCATGGGGATATGCGGGGTTTTTCAAAGCTTCAACAGCAACTGTACGCACTCACAGCAATGTAGGCATGACATGTTGATTGCGCACAATTCACAGACATGGGGCATAGCAGTGCAAGCAGCATGTGTCAAATGGTCGCAGGTGGCCTCAGCATGGATGCACAGCGCATGGAGGGGGGTGGGCAGCAACACTGGAAATGGCAGCGGTAATGTGGGGAATGGGGAGCAGGGAACAGTGGTGGCAGCAACAATGGCTGTGCTTTGAGCACTTGATCAGCTCATAATCTCCCTCCCTTGCTCAAAGTGCCCGTTGGTCCCAAGTGCTCAGCTTTCGCAGTGATGGAGCATATGGAGCACCTGTACATCAGCAATGGCAGCGCTTGTCAATAGCACACAGAGAACATGGGGATCGGTGGCACAGTCAACCCCATACAGTAGCGCGTGGTCAGCATGCTGAAGTTTCACTAACCTCAAGCACCCCAACTGCTAAACAAACAGCAAGTGTGACTAAGCATAAGAAACAGAACACAGAAATGTCTCATCTGCGGGTTTTTACTGAACCCTCAAACAGCATGGGAATGTCTCATCCGCAGGCATCATGGGCAGTGCTTAACAACAGTGTGCAGATGGGGTAGGCAGCGGTTGCATTATCAGATGTGGTCCAGAAGGTATTGTGGGTGAGAATGTTCGCATCAGGAGGCACTTTGGATGCGATCTAGGGGGGTGGTTTGGTTCTGAATGTCACAATGGGGGGTCCTTCGTTTGCTTCGCTCATAACTCCTGAAGTAGTCAGCCGTTCACCTCTACACTCAGTATGTAGATAGCCCTAATCTTCCTCTATCGGACAAGCGCAAAATCGTGTCTGAGTGATTCCTAGATGGCACTCACATTGAGGTTTACTTCTGATCATTAAAAATACACGTTCTCGATGACAATCTCCCCAACTTCTTCACCAATCCCAGCATTATAGGGCTCATTACAATCCTGTGATCAACCCATTCTCTTATTAGGGAAAAACACCATTCAGTAGCGGTGCGTTGTTGTGGGGACAACTCCGTGTACCGCAAAAAGTCGGATTCTGCGGAATTTGGCCACAAACACCCACTACATACCCGCTGACGCTCCCGATGCTCATTCTATCACTATCCAACACTCCATACACTCATTCCTTATTTTTCCTTATTTTCCCCATCATTCCCGACAACCCCAAGCAAAATTCCCACGCCCAACCACGCCACCAATTTCACCCCCTCTCCACATCTCAAGAACCACTGCACCAATTGGGACGAATAAAGGCTCATTGGAAAGCTGGAGACGAGGAGGTTGCTGACGGGAGGATAGGTGGGCGCTGTGGCGAAGTGTTGCGGAGATAACTTTCACAATTTCCATTTCGGACCCGTTATCACATATTCCCCATTCATTCATTTTTCTTTTATTGTTTCTTTGTTCCCAATTGAATATTCATCATTTACGGTTGCCTAACGGCCCGTTTACATCCCCCCATGCCATTCATTCCATTTCAAACATATATAAACTAGATAACAGCTTGTACATAACAAGTTAGTATTGAATAGACCCGTAAAGGGACAAGCAGAAGTTACATCCAAGTGGCAAAGACGCCATCCACGACCCTAACGCCCCCTCTGAGTTAGTTGATAACGTCTAAGACCCCTCTCATCATAATACTCAGCCTTGACGTCCAAGAGAGACATAGGTGAGTGTTTGTTTGAGGTTTTTGCAGACTCATTAGCGCCCATGGACCAAAACCCGGCCCCACGAACCACACCCACGCACACTACCACCCTCCCCCTTCTCTCTGTCTCGAGTCTAGGTGATAGACCTGTTACAGCGTGGCAGGGTGTGCAGGAGCAGGACAACTTCAGTAGCACAAGTGACAGTGCACAGGCAGTTGTTGTCATATCCATCCCCAGCCATCGACTTCCACTCCCTCCGATCCCTCCGGTCTACCTCCACTCCTTCTTCACTAACCTCGGAGCTCCCATATTCCGTAACCACCTCAGTACCTCTCAATGGTCACCACCCCCTCTTTTCAATTTATTACCTACGCCTCCCTAAGTATGGAGCCCTGAAGGCTTCCAGACAGCTCCGATGTCCGCTAGCGCACTCCCGCCTCTGCTGGGCAATACACTCGCTTGCCCTGCAAGCCCACCTTTGGGCCTATCCCTCCTTTCTGTTTCTGGGTTATCGCCTGCCATTCTGTTAACCCTGTAACCCGACTCGTCGGTAATATTCAATCGGCTAATGTCTAACCCTGTTAGCTCCACTCCGCTCGGCTCCACCATTTGCGGGCCCGCTCTCATTGTAACCATATATATACTCAACTTGTACATAGGCTACACCTCAGTAATAAAATCGACTAGAGTTTACCCCCTTCAGTTCTGGTTGCCAGTTAGTAAGTTAGGGCACGGACGTGTTACTTGGCACAGCGCTCCTGGCATAAGTCACTGAGGCCGAAGCCCTCCATCACAGAGACACTCCCTTGTCTCAACCTGGTCTCTGACAGTTGTGGCAACAGGGATGGGACATGGTTGGCAAGGAGCAGAGAGGGTAGTACACATGCAGTACTAGGTCAAATGTCAATGGAAATAGTTCAAGCATCCCAACAACAACATCGATGGCTAATCCACATCAGCAACACATCATTGCATGGATGATCAGGCACCAGACACATTGCATTGGTCAGCGAAGTCAGCTAGGATGTATTGATGGCAGAGCATGTGTGGCAGCCACCAGTCATGGATGTGGCAACAATGATGGTCAGGTGAGCAGTAGGGCAAGGGGGGTTCATCTCAGCATGGCAAGGCAGCCCAAGTGCTGGGTGCGTCATGAGGACAATTCAGGGATCATGTAGGATGGGGTGGAAGAGTCCAATGACAGGGCGGTTCCAATGGCAGGGCAGTTCCAGCAGCAGGATGGCCAAAGAGTGGCGGTGGCAAACAAGCAGGAGATGGCGATGTCAGAGTGGGGTCAGTCAGCACATAACAGCAATGGCTGCACTCAGTGAACATGGAGGTCAATGGCAACACCAGGAACAGCTGCGCTTTGAGCACTTGATCAGCTCACAATCTGCCTCCCTTGCTCAAAGCGCCCAGACATAACGTGCTCGGCAGCAGCAGGGCGAGGGGGATGGCAATGGCAATGATGGTATAAGCAGTTGGGGGGCATCAAGTGCAGCAACAGTAACGATGTGTCAGATGGTGGCAAAGGGGGTGAACATGGGGGGCGATGCGATAGGCACCCAGAGTCATTGTTTACTTCGTTAATAACTCCTGCAATAATGCATCAATCTCCTCCAAACTCGTCATGCAGATAAACCCGATTCTCCTTCATCGAAAGAGCCCAGGATCAAGTCTCGGAGATTCGTAGGTGGCGCTGGCGTCGAGTTTTAAGTTGAATCTTTCCAAAATGCGTCCTTTTGCGTCGATCTCCTTCAGTCTTTCATCAATCCCGACGTTCAAGAGGTCGTTCGAATCCTACAAAAAACCTCTGCAACTTCTCTTATTTCGCCAAATCGTGATTCCTACTCATTGGCATCGAATGCGCGTTGGGAAGGTTGGAGATGGGCAAGTGCCAAGCACAGGCACTTTCAGGGCATTCAGGAGGGGGGGATGACAGGGCAGTTGTGCCCAAGCAGTGGACAGGTGGGTTGGATCACAAGCAGCTGCAGCAGGTGCACTACTCTGTGAGGTCCGTGTCGTGGGGCGGCATGGCAGCCTTCATTGTCGCGAAGCAGTGATGTTGAACAAAACACACGTCAACATCGGTACAATGGGGCACAGTCACCATAGCAGGCATGTGGGCAGTGGAGATAGCGAAAGAACAGCGCAAGCACAACATTCAAAGAGTGGTAGTGTCAAACGAGCAGCGGAGTTGACTGGGGGTTATAATCGCGGTGTTATAACTTATAATTGCAGCATTGCAGCCACATGTAGAAACCCAGATTTGACAGGATTCCATCAAATTTTGTATTGTGGGTCAAGGGAGTAATGAAAACAGGGTGGGACCCACATGAGGCATTGCAGTGTAGGATCTCACAAATCCAATGCACCTTAGTTGGATTTGGTCAAGAAATGAGGGAGAGCATCCACAATAAAGATTGTGTCTCATGCCTGCCAAAATGTGGATTGCCTGCATTCTGCCATGTCAGTGGCTTGACATCCATGTGAAGATAGTTAATTACATGTAGTATCAATGTCATATCCGTGCATACTCGATCCCAAACCGACTCCTGGACCTCCATCTTCACCACTTCCGGAGTCCTACCCTATCTCCGTTCGCTCCGATACTCATCTCGGACTGAACATCACTCCTCTCGCTCCTCCTCCTACTCCTCCTCATGACACCTCCACCCTTCCGTTACTCTTCCTCCCACTCCTCCTCTTCCTCCTCACAACACCTCCACCCTTCCGTCATTCTCCTACCCTTTGCCCGTCCGCTCCGATACTCACCTTCGGACCTGACACCTTTCCTCTCCTCCACTCCACCCCCCTTTCATCTTCTCTCTCTCTTCCCTCTGGCCCTCTTCCACCAACCTTCCACCAAGTTGCGACCTTCCATCGCTGTCCCACACCTCATACTCAGACACCGCTCGTACCTTCACTCCGAGACTCCGTCATAGTTCCTACCTCGGACTTTGACTCCACCTCGGCTTTAGTCCATTGCATTGGTGACCTCATACTACGTAAACACCATTGCCAATATTCCTTGGACTTTCAACCCCGCCTCCATAACCTCCGTAAGCTCCACAACCTCCGAGCTCCACAGATCATCTTTGGCACTTTCGCTGCTTGTAATGTATCTTTCATGTTTCCCCCTCATCCCTATTTGGACTGCTGCTTCTTCCCATTCTAGCCAGTTAGTCATCATCCCCACTTCCCCTCATCCTCCTGCCCCTCTGGGCTTCGCCCTCCTTATCTCCTTTCGGATGTACCACAGGTTCAGCCCTATGACCTTCGGTACCGCTCCACTTCTGTCATCCCTTTGTTCCGTTTGGACGCCTTCGTTCCGATTCGGACCCCCTTTGTTTCCTTGTGCTTTTGCCCTCTCCATATATATATTGGCGCTTGTACATACTTGTTTTAGGCCTTAGTCTAAAATCGACCTGAAATTCCCCCTAGAGACTTCCTGCCCGCTGCCTATGAAATTAAGGACCAAATGGACAAACAGCAATGGCACAGCGCTCCACTTGAGTCGCTGAGGCCAAGGTCCCTCCTTGCTAAGTCTCCGGTTCCCCTCCGGAATCGTCCGCCCTCGCCCAGTTCTAACAATCAAGCCAAATCAGTCTCATCTTGTAGGATGGGAGATTTCCACACCCCCCTCCTAATCAGATTCCCATCCCACATAGCCTTGTCATCCACCAAGGGATTGAGAATGAGCACAGGGAGCCTTGTTCCAGCCCTGTCAGCAGGGAAAGTGTCTGAACTCCGAGGGTTGGCTGTAGTGTACCACATTCGTGAAAGATCTGAATATGGTACCCAAATGAGTTTGGAGTATACTGTCTCCCAAATTTTCTCTCTGATACGATTACCACCAGTATGGTCAAACTTTATGATGAATTCCCACCAAGAGACGTGAAATGGATGCCTCTTCCATCCTTTGCCCCCATCTTTGAACTGAATACGCCCCCCCTGTCTCCTGTCCCGATTGTATTTGCCCCGCATTCTTGGTGGTTCCCATTGGAGGTCTGGAGGTGGGAAAGTGAGTTGGAATGCAACATGAAACTCAGAAGGGTTGCACCTTCAGAGGTGAGCTCCAATGAAACCACTTTTATGCAGATCTGGTTCCTCAAAGTACTCCATACCAGGATGATCGATAAGGTTGTCTGGATCACAGACGATGTGATAGAACACATCAGAAGATGGGGTCTGTGGTACTGGGATGGTCTGCAGGACGTTGGAATAGAAATACTGGATAATCTGGTGGAGAGACTTTGTGTAGATTATTGAGGTGGTCCCTTGAACAAGCTGAGGTACAGAATGGTGGTCTTCAACAGAGTAGGCAGTCCTCAGGTGCTTGATATGGTGCTTCTTGAGTTTGACATGAAGATCAGCTGGAAGCTCATGTTCTGGTTCGAGTACAGGGGGGGCTTCTGTATGGTGAGGTCTGGGGAGACGGAAAGGGGCTCTTACTGCAGTGTAGAGGGTGGCTGAGAGCAGTGTTTTGATCTCCTCGACAGAATAGCCCAGGAGGTGGTTAAAATGGTCCTCATCCAGTGGCCACCATCGTACCAGTCCAAGTGTGGTATGTGCCCTGAATGAAGGGGCGATTCGCCCACAATTGGAGGGGCCACCATAACTGATGTCCCTGAACCAGAGAACATTTCCAGGTGCAAATGGGCGACATTGTTCACCCTCAGCCTGGTCTCTGTGAGGGTTTCTGTCACGTCCATCCAGGACATCTGGGTGTAAGAAGTTATTGGTCACTGGGAGGGAAGCACACATGAGTGCATGCTCTGAGGAGCCTGTGGCAGGCCTGCTGTTGAGCATGTTGATGTGCCATAGGAGTGCTGCAGTGAGCTCCAATGCATAAGGCTGCACCCTGGACTTGGGGGTGGCATTCTGCTGAGCTGCTATGAGCTGACGACATGCATGGGCAGTCAGGAGTTTGAACAACCTAGATTGAATGGTTAACCACAGCGCAGATATAATTTAACCTTTCTTGACTTACCACCACTGTCAAGCAGGTACAGAGATGGTGCATTCCTCGATAAACTCCCTGGTTATGCCCCTCCTCAATGCATTCCTTGCTTTCCCCAGTGGCACACAAATCTCCATTCTGGCTGTTCCCTCTGTGCACTCCTCGTTGGCTAAACTCCACACTTGATCCAGGTTATCGAATTCTCGCTGGAGTTTCTTTTGGTTCTTCTCCAGGAGGACGTTTTTCTTGCTAATCTCCAGCATGGGATGGAATTTGTCTGCCCTTCTGGCCACTGCCTTCTCAGAAGCATACCACTGTGCATAAACAGGCAACCGTGCACGATGGGGTAATGCACAATGGCCACCAGCCAAAGATAGGATGCCTGCTTGAACATCACAAAAGTACCCTTCTCGTCCTGGTGTGGTCCAACCTCTTTCAACCTCTCCCTGATACCCATGGGCAAGGACCTGAAGGACATCATGATGCTTGGATGCATCCCAGTGGAGGACGAATTCCCTCCTGTGGATTTCCAGCCCCACATCCACCCATGTGCTTCTCTGCTCCTCTGCCGATAATTGATGGTTGAAGAGCCCAAGGATTTGTGTCCATGCTGTCTCTTCTTCAGGAGAATGGGCATGGGCATCCTCCAAGGGAATTGGATGTGTGGTGCTAAGTTTTATGCCCTTGATCTCTAAGCCAAAGAAAAAGCTGCATGCCCATTTAAGCCTTTCTGCCTTTATCTGGAGGCAGTGCCTCATCTGGAGGACCAAGTCATGAAGGAGAGATGAGGCAAAGAGTCGTTTTCCACCAACCACCTTCCCATCCTTAGTGTGGGAAAGGATACCATCTAGTAGGTGGTAGGGGGGATATGAAGGGGCAGAATGGGGGATTATGTGAATGATGGCAGGACGCAAGACTTCATCATAAAACTCAGCAATATGCACCTCATCCACCCGGTTGTTGACCATGTTTGTCAGGTATGGAAAAAAACATCCTGATAAGGCCGTTGTTGGAATATCTTCCTAGGCAGTAGTTTGGTATTTTATTTGCCTCTGTTGCATTGGGCCCCACAGTACAATCCTAGATAACAGTCAATCGCAAGAGACATGTATATGAAACTCAGGCTTACAATGGAAAAGAGGTGTTCAGGAATTTTCACATGGAGGCTGCTTGAACTTGGCAGGACATCCATTGGACGAGGAACCAGGCCAAATTCCACACTTTCAAACAGTGGCAACCGAGCATAGAATCCAATGAGAGAGTCATAGTCTCTGTGAAGAGAGACATCATCTGTGCCCAGTCTGGTTCTCATGTTCGAAGTATTGAGTCTCAAGTAACAGCCCCTTTCATCCTTGCCTTCTAAAAGAAGTTGCTCAAATCCTTCATGCAAGACCCCAGCAATTTTGCTTCTCTCCAGTCGGAAAGCCGTTCTGACATATGTGTCAGGGCGTGGGAAAACGTTACTGTGACTTGCCGTCGGCGACCATTAAGGTCCGCTACTCCAGCGTAACAGCCCGTTAAGGGCGGGGATGACAATTGCGGCAAAACAGGGTTTCAGCTTCAATGACTCCTTTGTGAGCGTTGCGCCTTGTACTTGATGTGGCCCCGATATTTCAGAGGGCAGAGGGTGCGACTGAGTCAGACAGGGAGTGCAGGGGGTAACCCTAGTTGATTTTCGAACTGAAGTACGAGGTAGTATACAACCGGTATTTAAGTGTAATGGAATGAATAGAAATAAGTTGCCAGATCTCACGGAGATTGCGGGCAGGCTTAAGAAGGAACGAAAACAAACAAAGAGCGTGGGAGAAGGATGGCCGTGCATGGCTGTCAAGAAAACAAGTGTGATAAGGAATGACTCATAGGCCCATGACGGGCCATGGAACAGGTAGCAGTAACGGGGAGGGGTGATGGGCTTGTCCAGGCAGCGTCGGGCGGGCAGCGGAGTTGATGGGGTCGAAGCGGAGAAGGGAGAAGGTGTGGGGAGTGGTCACCTGACTGTGGGAATTGCTGGGTCGTGACAATATGTTGAGAAGTCAATGTCTAAGAGATCTTCAGGGTCAAAGTCTGATGGGGTTGTTTCCCTGGAGTCCATTAGCACTGTCATCAGGTGAGGAGAAAAAGTGATGGAGAAAAAGTGATTGGCAACTCCCATTGGCCATCATAACCACCAGGATACAGCTGTCCCCACTGCAACTTTTGCTTTGGGATTACACACCAGCATCAGGTTATAGGTACAGATTGTAGAAAGCGCCCTGAGGAAGCACACAAAGAAGCGCCATTCACCAAAATAACTGCTCAGAGTAGGGATCAATGTACTTGTAGAATTAAAGTGCACATCTTTATTAACAATGTATAACATTTGTATTGACATTTTGTAGTTCATAGTCCCTGGAAGTGTTCTACCGTATTGTTCGGGTCTGGGACCTCCATGATCTTGGAGGTGTATCTAGGAGATCTGTTGTCATCATTGCTATATATCCATGATGCTTAGGCTGCAGTCTAGTCCCATGTGCCATAGGGCTTCGTTGTTGATCCGGATTTTCGGTTTTCCATTTGGAGTTTCTCTCTGGATGAGATGATTAGGCATCCATGCAGCGTGGTTTCTGTCTGAGGGTTGTGAGGGGGCATGGGATGGTGGGATGTGTGTTCTGGTATATTTTTAGTGGGGGGACGTTGTTACCATTGGTCTGGGTTGCCTGTGCATATGTGTACATAGGTTTGGGTGCTTGGAAAGAGTCTACAACTGTAGGGAAGCCTTGTTGGTAGTCTGGTGATTGGTGTACCATGTTGGTTGTGGTTGTGGTTGTGGTTGTATTGGGGACTGGTATGTTGATCCTTGCTATTTCCAGTTGTTTTACTAGTGAAGCATTTGTATCGGCAAGTTGTTTGGCGATGGTGACTGCATCTGCTAGGGCCTTCTGGCATTCCCAGTAGTAGCTCATCGTGCATGTGTTGATGTTGAGGTCTGTGGGGAGGTTGTCCAGTTTGGACTTAATTGCTTCTGGGAAGCCCTCCATTTTGTACTTGTCAGTGATGTAACTAGATATGTTTTTGAGGAGGTGGTTGACATTGTTACAAAAATGGGGCTGGAGGCGCCCATTTTCGTCTGTTCTTGGCACAGGAAAGTGGAAAAGGGTAGAAGTTGAGCTCATATGATTTTACAATAGATATGGCAGGTGTTGTTATAGATGTTTTCACAGAGACATTACTCTCGGGTTTTTGGTTGATTATTGATTTGTTAAACTTAATTACTATACAAATCATGTGATACAGAACCCATAAGAGTCTAAAATGGGAAATTCCCATTTCCATAACAGACATGCTGATGTACTCCATGTTTTTTTGATTGGGGGTGTGTCTACTGCATCCCAGTTCATGTCGGAGGGGGTCCCATGTGCTGCCCTTGGGGTTGCTGGTGAGGAGCCTGGGGAGTTACCAGGGGAGTGCACCCTTTTCCTCCTTTTGGTCATGGACAGGATGGTCAGGGCTAGGGCAGATTCTCCCTGGTGACTTGTTTTGGCTTGTGGTCACGATTCTGTTACTTTCATGTACCACATTGTGTGACACAAACAAGTGTCACACACAGTGTTACAAAATGGTGTCACCCATTATGCACTGTGTTATTGTTTCTCCTCTGTGCCATTGATTCATGGCCCACACCTACCAAATCACCCCACCCACCCCACCCAGTGTTGTTACTGGAACTGTTCATTCCTGGTAAATTCTTATGCCCCCAGGCGCCCCCAAGTACTGGACCGAATTTGGTATGAATAAGTTACTCATGCACAGTTACAGCCCCCAGTGCACTGAGCTAAAAGGAAATAAAAACATGACATGCATACAAAACAAAGTGAGGAACTTGAACAGAGAAAGGAGATTCAACAGTAACATGTACAAGTACAAAGCAAAGTGAGGAACGTAAACAAAGAGATGAAATTCAACAGTACAGATGGAGTAACTACAAATCAGAGGTTCATTCAGAGAACAACAAAAGATAAGGTGGAGAGGGGAGGAGATGGGAAGTGCAAAAAAGGCAGAGATTACTGGGCAGGTGTGGCAGTGATGGTTCACCAGTAAAAGTTTGGGAAAGAGCGGCAGGAGGACGTACTCACTGAGAGAGACATGAGTTCAGTTGACAGGGAAGACGGTTGATGCAAGCACCCTTTTATATGCATAGCCTGAACTAGTCGTGAGCACTCTCATGGTGATGGAGGTTCAGTACACACCTCTGGTGTGGTCTGTTCCATGCAGCGGCCCATCAAGTGGCAAAGACTGTGTGTGGTGCTAAGACAGGTGCAGCAGAGTAGGGTTGAGCAGGAGAAGCCTCTGTGTCAGCTGGGCTGGGTCTAATCGTAACCCTGTGATTAGTCTCATGAAATGAAATGATTAAACAACAACTAATCAGGTGTGACTAGGGTTGTAGCGGGAGATGGCCAAAGTGGCCCAGGATGTATTGGCAATGTGCAGCAAACCTGACATGACCTGCATCTCATCAGGTCTATCCAGGTGGCAGGAGGATTGGATGGTGGTTGTAAAGGGATCAACGTAAACATGTCTGCTCACCAAAACTATTAATTGGAACTGGCATCAAATGCTAATCTCCCCAAAAGAGTTCCTTGGATAAGAATCGGGTTTTGGTCAATGTAGATTAGAAAAGCTTCAGAAGACCAGCATCCAATTGCTTGGATGCGAGGCAGCAGCATTCCAGCAAGTGCAAGTGCAGTAGCACCTCCTGAGGTGTCTGTCATGGCCGTGCATTCCGGCCCATTAGCTGCCCATCCTGATGCTGCCCGAGCCCATTCCCGCTACGCGAGCGTGAGTGCGAGCCCCAACCTCAGCCCTATCCTCCCTGAGGACTCCCTGCTCACTCCCCCGCTTGCCCCTAGGCTCCCCTGCACCTGGCCGACTCCCCCACAGCCACACCAACCTTCCCACCCTGAGTCCGCCTCCAGCACCATGCCCAGCACAACTCCTCTACCCCCCCCACTTGGCCCCTACGGGGCCGCTACCATTCCTGCACCCGACTCTGGCCCAACTCCGAGTCCAGCGCCGCTATGATACCATCGCCGCTATCGCAGCCCTACGCTCCTTCCTTTATTTATCTGTTATTGTTTGTTTTGACCCTCGGTCATTGCCAGCCGCTATGCGGCCAACCCTGCTCCTTATTCTTGTTTGCTTCCGGACCCTTCGGCCTTTGGCCCGGGTCCGCTTCCATTCATTCTTTCTCCCTATATATATCCTGTATGTTACTTTATTGTACCTTAGCTCTAATATCAATTTGACCACGACCCCTCAAGTCCTGACCCCAACAAGGCAACCCCAGTGAGTCTGAAATGAGGGCCAAGAGACAGCTAGGGGGCACAGCACTCCCTTTAGAGTTGCTGAGGCCAAATGCCCTACCCTCGGGCCTTGTTCACGGCATCACGGCCATTGCAGCCTATAGCGGCCCGCTAATGGCGACCTTCAGTGCCGACCCCGGACCAGTGTCTAACAGTGTCCACTGACATTAACATCTGGAACCACCGTGTGCAGTTGATTCAAGAACCATGAGTGTATCAGCACAGTTCCCTTCTTGGCCAGCCAGAGCTTGGGTAGATGGGAAAATTTATGGTCGCGAGTTATTAAGTACCAAGCAAGTGCTGACAGTGGGTCCAGCCCATTTTCACCACCATCTAGAATGATTGTAGACACTTCAAAAAAATGGTTTGCTTTGCGCATTGGCAAGATAAAATGAGATGTGTGGCCAAGGTGATCTGTTAAAATACACTGAGCAATGGCAGATGGTCTTGTGGAAATCGGTGGAGTCTGGGTCCATGTGTTCCCCCAGCCTCATTAAGCAAAGCCAGCAGGTGAAAACAATTGCAATGAATAAAGTATCGTCATAGGAGGCAGGTTGTGCCAAGCAGTCTCAGAAACAAATGAGGCATCTTCTGTTAGAGCCCTTTTCTGAATGCTCAGGGTGTTGTGTAGCTTCATACAACCACTAAGGCAACATGAAACAAACAACCGGTTCCTGATTGTGCAAATCTCTGGCCAGGCCCCTTCTAGTTCCACACAGATCCCCCACAGATAACTCTTGATGGAGGATGGCTGGATGTAGTGGCACATATATACAAGGTAAAACTGGGCGTGAATTCCCTAATTGAAAGTTTTAGCATATACAAGCATCCGACAGTGAGAGCCTGCCACAGATTTTCACTGATGCCATGATGATTGGATTGTAAATATTGAATGCATGCAGGAGTTGAATATCGAAAAAGAAGTAGTGGAGTCGGTGTGAATAGCCAAGTGCTTCATCAGTGGCGGTGTTCTAGAAGCAGCCTGGCAAATATCTGGAGGCAAACAAAAACAAAGCAGATCACTGTTATCCTGCATATTCCCTCCTGAGCTTGCATCCACATGATACATGTATCTCTAGAGTCTAGCAAGAGCCCATTTGATGACATTATTTGCCTTCAACTGCTTCGCTCTTCACCAGAACAAGTCGTGACCCTGACTGGTGCAGGGATTTCATGTGCCTCAGGAATCAAGGTTCGCAATTTCCCACTTCATTGAAAAGAAGCAGAACCCAGCTGGCCCAGGACTTCCGTTCCAGCACAGGTCTCTACAAGAGTGGTAGTCTCAGGAATGCATTTTGCACTCGCATGCAATCTCACATTCCACATGCCAAGGAACAGCTCCAGATGCTGGGCACCTTGTCAGAGCTTTGCCTACATGCACAACCCAATGCAACACACCACCTCCTCGTCCACCTCTTCCAGCTCAAACTCCTTTGCCGCTCTTATACACAAAATGTGGATGATCTTGATGCCAAGGCAGGCCTTCCTCAAATGGATGATAATGGCAGGTGGGCTCATGTTACTCTTCATGGCTCTCTCAAGTATGGTCTTCATATCTGGTGTTCTATCAAGACATGCTCAGGTCATTATACAACCGCACCTTAATGTGTGACATATGTTCCAAGACATGCATGCTTACTCTGGATCATATCACCATGTTCAAAGATGGCATGTACCCTGAATGCACCAGATGCATAGAAGAAGGTGAGACCAGAATCATTTCCCCATTCAAAATTGTGTTCTAAGTTACCCTCACATAGCTGCAAGGAAGAAGAGCGATGGACAGAGATGTCAACAGCGAACAGGTGTACTTCGCCACCAAATAGTGTATGTTGAGGACAGCCCAGAAGAGGACCCTCTTGCTGAAGAGAAAGGTGTTTTATTGGATCGAAATGCTGCTGCCTCACCATGAGTGTTCCTGATACTGGGGACATCACTGGCATTGTCTGGAATCCAGTCCTTTGTGCAAAAGATGAGCAGCTCCATGTGTCGATCAACAGACATCCAACCTCCATGCCCTGATGGCATTCGCCATTATAATTATCTCGACTTGCTCAAACTCAGAGCCTCAGATGCACTAGTCGTATATGTCAATTTCGAGCAACCCCCTCGTAAGTTGATGGGCTGCATTGATGTTTGGCTCCAGGAAGATGTCAAGTCCTGGTCAGAATGGATCACCTGGGAGCTTAGGAGAAGGCATGTTATTTAGAAACATCAGTTATTGAGCTCCTTTTACATTTTTTGTCTTTCGCTTGTTTGTGGAAATGCAACATGGAAATTTTTGACATGCATTGCCATGAGTGGTCTCAGTGAGAAGGAGAGATGGTCGGACCTCATTGAGATTTTCAAACAGTGTAGGATGGGCTGTGAGGAAGGAATGAATCCAGGTCCAGAATCACAGCGATTGGGAGGTGCAATGTGAGAAAACAATAGAGAGCACATCTGCTCCCGACTGAGAGAGGCCAAAGTTCAGATAGGGAATAAATATAGAGTACATAGGTCCAAATAAGAGAGATCGTAACCTTGTAACCACACAGCAGTATAAGTAGCCAGACTAATAATATGATGAGACAAAACTAATAAAGGAATAAGATGAGTGGAAGCGCTGCATGTGGAACACGATAAGCAGTGAAATGGTGAGAGGGGGAGAAAAAAACATAGGACCTGCTATGGAGAGCGGGAATTAATGGCTGGAGGGGAGGTGAAAAGTATGGAAATTGGGAGGTGAGTTTGAGCAAGTGGGCTTCAGAAGCCAACGTATAATATAAGGGTCCAACAATAAATAGGTTTTTTTTTAGCAAGAATGGAAAAGGAATATGAATTACACACACACCCATCAAAATAGCCTGCCACAACCAGGTGAAGGACACTGGTGTTTGATGTAGACCCCAGATTCCTCAGGTTCCAACTCTTGAAAGAATGCATCATAAGTCCCTCCTAGAAAGGCACTTGCTGCATTCTCCAAATTTTCCCCCAGATTCACCAGCTTCTCCAATTCATCCACTGCCAACAAAATACACCTTTTCTTCAGGTGGAACACTTGCAACTCTTTTTTCAAGTCCCAATCCTGTCCATTGGGTGCACCAAAGAGTTTGAGGTCGCTGCAAGCAACCCTTGCGATCCGGTGAATGTTGGGATGCTCCCCAAAATCCAGGTCCTTGTAGGCTTCAGCACATCCCTCATGCAGGACAGACTGAAGGACATCAGTGAGGGTGTATGATTGGGAGGGTAGCTGGCAATGATCACTACCCATCAATGTAAACCAGTGTGGAATAACCTCTTTGCAGCAAAATTTGAGAGGCTGGGAGTAAGCATCCCAGGGTTTGCTACATGGTGGGAAAATTTCACACAGGTTCTGAAGGGACTAAGTGATAGATTGGTAAGATGTTGGGATAACATGGATGCATGCTTACATAGAACTCATTGACCCCTTCTTGGAAGAAACGGCTATGAAAATCACATAAAATCCCTTCATCACTCCAGTAGGCTTGGGGTTACTTACAGGCAAAACCAACCCTTGTCATATCCATGCATACCCGACCCCTACCCGACTTCCGGACCTCCACCCTCTTCACCTCCGGAGTCATACCCTACCGCTGCCGTTCCGATACTCACCTCCGGTCCTGGCAACACACCTCCTTCTACCCTCCCGTCACCCTCCTATGCTTCCCCCGTCCGCTCCGATACTCACCTTCGGACCTGACAACTCTCCTCTCCGCCACTCCTCCTCCCTTACCTTTCCCCTCTCTCCTCCCTCTGGTACTCCTCCACCACCCTCCCGCCAAGTTATGACCTTCCACCGCTGTCCCGTACTTCGTACTCGGACACCTCTCGTACCTTTGCTCCGAGTGTTATGGATACGGAGTCTCCAACGACCATATCCGTCGCATGGTCAAAGACTTCCCCTCTCTATCGCTCCTCCCCCTTTCTTCTTTCCGTCCTCAATCCCGCTACCCTATCCTCCTTACCCGTTCTACCCCTTTCCCCCCCCCCTCGTGCAAAGCTTTCCCCATTGGGGTTTTGGTGCTGGCCGAGGTTGTTTGTGTTTCGCGGGATTTCCCGCGACCTTACCATTTGTAGATAGTCACGCGTCATGTACGGAAACCGCCGAAGGCGGTTCCCGCTAACTAACAACTGCTCTACAACTGTCTCGTGTACCGTCTTCTGTAACAACCCTCCCTGTGACTCAACTGAACCCGTGTGACTGTACAACTCTCAATATGTCTTATAAGTCTGGTTATATCGAGTCCTCTAACGGCCCTCGCCGCGAGAACTCGAGGTCGAGAGTCGAAGACTCTCGACATGTGTATCGTCCTACTGAATCTGTACCCTATGGGTCTTCATCACTCCGCTCTCCCCCCAGTACTCAACATACGACGTCACCTCACGATCTTGGAGATCGTGAATACTTTGAGGCCCATCTTCCCGTGATGCCGGCACGTTCGCTACACGAACGCCAAGTCGCCGCCCATCCACCGTCTGTTCCCTCCTTCGCCAGTCATCATGTTTCCCCGCCAACGGTACGTTCCCTTTGGGAACGCCAAGTCACCGAAGGCCCTACTAGTCAGTCCTCATTGTACGCTTATGACATCAACCTGCTACCGGCACATTCGCACTGCGAACGCCAAGTACCCGATAGCAACTATATGAAGTTCTCACCCACCTCACAAGTCGCGACCTCGCACACGGTACGCTCCATTGAGGAGCGCCAAGTACCCGTGGCTGACCCGTCCGTCCTGGCATCTCCGACTACCTACCATCAATCCCTTAATAGCTCACTACATCATCAATCGCGATCGATGGGAACTCGATCGTCCACCCCCAGGCAAGACTGGGATCACTCATCGATTTCATATCCTGTTATGGTACAGACCAGATATGACCTCACTCATTCCACTATAAGAATGGATCGAGGAATGGGGAATTTTCCCCATCCCCGTAACACCGAGCCTCCATCATAGTCCCTACCTCGGACTTTGACTCCACCTCGGTCTTAGTCCATTGCATTGGTGACCTCATACTACGTAAACATCATTGCCAATATCCCTCGGACTTTCAACCCCGCCTCCGTAACCTCCGTAAGCTCCGCAACCCCCGAGCTTTGCGGATCGCCTTCGGCACTTTCGCCGCTTGTAATGTATCTCTCGTCTTTACCCCCCATCCCTATTTGGACTACTGCTTCTTCCCATTCTAGCCAGTTAGTCATCATCCCCACTTCTCCTCATCCTCCTGCCCCTCTGGGCCTCGCCCTCCCTACCTCCTTTCAGACGTATCACAGGTCCTACCTTATGACCTTCGGTACCGCTCCGCTTCTTCTACCCTTTGTTCCCGTTCGGACGTCTTCGTTCCGATTCGGTACCCTTTGTTTTCCTTGTGCTTTTGCCCCCTCCATTATATATATCGGCACTTGTACATACTCGTTTTGGTTCAGTCCGAAATCGACCTGAAATGCCCCCTAGAGACTTCCTGCTCACCTACTGTGAAATTAAGGACCAAATGGACAAACAGCAATGGCACAGCGCTCCGCTTGAGTCGCTGAGGCCAAGGTCCCTCCACGCTAAGTCTCCGATTCCACTCTGGAGTCGTCTGTATCCGCCCATTCTAACAACCCTCATAAAAATCGGGAACAACATCCCCAGCTGCAGCTGCAGAGAAGGCAGCTTCGTCAAAAACAGAATTTATCACAGGACATGAATCTATTTAAGGGCTTCATCCTATGTGATGCAGAAAACAAGAGTGAATAAACATACACTTTATGTCCACAGAAGGCCTAACAACAGTGATCCCTTTGAGCCGGATCAGCTCATGAGGGTAGACTTTCAAAGATGAACTGCAAGGAAGAAGGGAAATTTTAATAAAAGGGCCGGCACTGCAGGCGCTAGACCTCAGCAATGTGCTTGAGACTTACAGGAGGTGTTGGTGGAGTTCCTCCGAAATCCTGTTAGCAATGGCTGGGATAGTAGCATCCCAGTAGACCTCCAGGGTCACTTTCTGTTGATAGCATGAGCAGGTGAGAACCAATGAGACATGTCATAGTTCTTACCTCCTCATTGAACTGGACGAGACACAATGTCAACTCTGAGCACTGCAGGATTAACTCTAATTACTTACAGGTGGTAGTTTGGGCCCAATATGGGTTATTTTGCCCTTCCCCGCTTTCTGCACCAGGGTGTTGGCAAAGTCCAGGTCCTCACCTAACTTGGAGTTGTCCATCCAGTAGACACTAAGGAATGCTCAACTACAACCTCCAGTATACCAGGGAGAGTGGACACACAAATCACCATGGAAATACTCGCTTTCCTTTTCACTGCCCTCACCGGCAACCTTCCACCATACCCAACCTGAAAGCGCATATCAGTTGCATACCTTTCCCAAAGCTTGTTCATTTTTACCCTGGAATGACTCTTTGCTGCCAGATGGCACTGAGCTAGTGTGAGGAACTGTACGTGACATTGTGGGCATCGGTGGCTGTGGCTGTGTCTCTTGATGGTGGCGTAATCACAGGTTAGCAGTCTGCCTGGCTGCGCCCAGTCGCGACCGCTTTTGCATTCACATGCCTTCCCTCACCGATCGCGGTTTTCTCATGATTTATCATGCAACTTAGCCTGAACGGATCAAATCATGCTGCCTCAGTCATACGCTGAATGTTTTCGGTGCAGATGTGCGAAGTGGACCATTCAGTGGAGGTACATACTGAACTTTCACTGTTGAGGAGAGGTTTCATACTACCTAAGTCGTGCCTATAAAGGGGCCCTGATGGCTCCCCTTTCCCCTCTCCCTATCGCCTGGTATCTCGCGCTCCCCTGGTGAGTGAGATCCAATTTGCCACTTGCTTTTCCGGGCTCATGCTTTTGACCCGCTGCCACTGCTTCCACCTGCGTATTTCTCTATTCCCGATTTGCTGCTGCCAATACCGCAATTCTCGACTACATTCCCATCTGCTCCAGCTCCTAGCTTATTTTCTTGTCTCCCTCCTCCTCTCCGATACTCCTCCTTTGCCATCTCTTCTTTTCAAACTTTTTTACATCATCTGTTACTCTTTTTCTTCATTGTACTAGTAACTTTCGTGCTTTCCCTTTGTATGTATGAGAACATGGGTCACACGTCGTGCGCATGTGGCTAATTTCACATGGGCCCTTTGTGGCTGTTGCCCACTACCAGCATTTGTTAGCCCTGATTAGATGGAGGTACGAGATTAAATAAGACTTATGTGGTATTCCAGATAAAAGAATATAAACGTACAAGAAAGTTTTGAGGGAAAACAAAAGAATAGCCGATGTCAGAGAAGAGCACATACCAGTAATACATGCAAACTCGGAAGCAGTTAGAAATCAGGAAAGGATACCAAAGCTGATACATGCAAAATGGGAAACGGTTAGAAATACGAAGAAAAGGAAAAGCCAAAGGGCCCAGAATGTATTGGCAGCAAGCATGGCGAGACATGTGTGATCCATATCTAATCCAGTCCTATTCTGGAACCATACGCTTCACCCCTTTGCTCAGCTTCCAAGCTACTTGTCGTCACAATCTGAATTGCATGAGTATATAAACTACATAACCCAAGAATCAACAGGAAAAACATTGTTTTGCTGAAGCATCAAGTCAATGCTGCTGGCAAAGCGGCGATATTTGGATACCAATTTTGTGTCCTTTAGAAAGTCATCTGCTGCATGACAAAAGTGGCCAAATGAGCAGTCATTGGTCACTGCTGAGAAGTGAAACTTCTTGTGCTCAAGGACCAGGTATACCAGCGACAAACCTGACCTGACTGGAATGGTTGGAGGTAGGGATGGGGGATGAAGAAGCTTTGCCTGGAGGTGCATCAGCAACAGCATCCGGCCATGGACCATGATGCTGTCAGTCTCTTCCTGATTGGACCACTTTGGCCTTATGCACTGAAGCAAGAAGGCTCGAAGTGTAAGGTCCATGGTACCAAAGTTGTAGAAATGGTGCCCCACCATCAAGACACCAGGACTTGTATGACCAGAGGGCTCAAAATCATGCACCTCTTCAACCAATCCCTTGCCTCCTTTTGATGATCTCTTACTTGAGGCATTAATCACCGAAAGAACAGCGTGAGGAGTCCCTGGTGGCAAGACACTACAAATAACAAGAAGAAACTCTATTAGTATGTGAGCGTTCACGTACTGAATAAAGGAGCTCACAGGGAAAACCCAGGTTCCAACACTATTAATTGTGTTGATGGATCATTCCGATATGCCAGAGCAAACAAGTCTTCAGAAGCATCCTCAGTGCCAAAGAGCCTCTTGTTGTCACTACTAACAATGATCCACTTTGCACCAGAAACAACCTGGAGAACAGTACCATAACCCATGCCATCTATGTGGGGAGGGTGGCTAGTCCTACATGATGACAGGATGGACCAAGCGCTAGAGGGGTGTAGGCAGGCACAGCCGGTACTGCACAAACAAACCGAATATCGCGATTTCCCCATCCCTGCACATCCCCACTTCACGAAACACATCACACACGTCCTCATATACTATTCCTACCCTTCCATGATTTTTCCCTATTTTTTTGGACACATTCCCAGTCCCCACAGACCAAATTCCCACGCCCACCCAGCAGCGCGGCCACACTCAGACTGGATTTCACTTATCTCAGCAACCACTGCACCGATTTGGACGATATTGGTACCGTTGAAAACGCGTCATTTAGAAGTATTAGGATCCATGATTAGCGGGAGTTGATTGGTGATGGATAGAGTTGGATATTTTTTGGTCGGATACCATTTATTGCTTCATTATTTCCTTGATTATTGTTTTCCCTTCCTCTTTCCGATATTGATTGTTGCCCATATGGTCCACCTAAGCACATGGGGCACTTCGGATATTTTTATCATTTTTTCCTGATCATTTCTCATATATACTGTACATGAGGATGTATCTACTTTTTCCTTTGGACTAGAAACCACCGAGTTTGCCCCTCCCAAGCTAGTAGGGAGTAGTACGACATAGAAGACGACCAAGAAGCCTCTAGATTAGTCCTTGCCTTAGTGTCACCCAGAGAGGTGGGGTAAGAGATTGATTGGAGTACACCACACACCGTACCACACCTGTCAGAGACCAGATTCGAGACGAGGGAGTGTCTCCGTGGCGGAGGGCTTCGGCCTCAGCGACTTCTGCCAAGAGCGCTGTGCCTAGTGACACGTCCGTGCCCTAACTTACTGACTGGCAATCAGAACCTAAGGGGGGGTAACTCTAGTTGATTTTATTACTGGGGTGTAACCTATGTACAAGTGGGATATATATATGGTTACAGCGAAGATGGGTCCGCAATTGGCGGAGCCGAACGGAGCGGAGCTAACGGGGTTTAAACATTAGCTGACTGAATATTACCGACGAGTCGGGTCGCGGGGTTAGTGGAAAGGCAGGCGATAACCCAGAAATGGAAAGGAGAAGGTGGGCTCTGCAGGGCAGGCGAGTGTATTGCCCAGCGGAGGCGGGGGTGCACTAGCGGACGTCGGAGCTGTCCGGAAGTCTTCGGGGCTCCGTACTTAGGGAGGCATAGGTAATAAATTGAAATGAGGGGGTGGTGACCATCGAGGGGTACCGAGAGGATTGCGGAATACGGGGGCTCCGAGGTTAGTGAGGGAGGAGCGGAGTTAGACCGGAGGGATCGGAGGAACCGGAAGTCGATGGCCGGGGATGGATATGACAACACCGGACCATATCACCATTACCATTACCCCTTTTCCCTGACCTGTTGGATACCTATCCAGTCCCCATCCTTTCCTGTTTGCTTGCTGGGTTAGATCCTAGCCCGCTTACAGGGGACAAGCTGTGATTGGCTATGCATGTAGTTGCTTGATGACATAGAATTTATTGCCAAATAGTCATCTGCAAGAAGGCTAAAATCAAGATGTCAACTTGGGACACATCCACTTTAACACTTTGGACGCACCTGCTCACACTCCCAGGTGGTGAGCTTCTCATACTAGGCAGAGATAGCACATTAGTATCTGGCCTTTCATCAGGTCCTCCATCTGAGCACATGCACTGGAGAGTGTGGTGGAGTAGATGCGGTTTTCTGCATGTGGATCGGGGTCATCCATATCTAAACATATTAAATGAGCCAACTGGCATTTTTTACTCAAGATCCAACACACCATGCACCTGAACAGGGGTGCATCGGTCAAGTTCTGCGACACGCAGCACAGTGGAAAGCAGGAATGGTTCCTTTTCCCCGCCTTCCACAAGGAACAGCTCTCTAATAACCTGACAGAACTCAGAGGGTTCAGAGGATCGGAGTATTTTGAGTTCCCCCTTTTTAAAAGTTGAGAGGTTGGGCATGGAAGATGGACAGACAAAGTAAGCCAGGTCCTCAATATAGTCCTTGCCTCTAGCAGCAGTAATGGCCATCTTTGTGTCATTGTATGGCTACTCATTCTCATTCTGTCAGTCCATGTGTCAAATACGTAACAATAACAACCCACCAAACCACAAAATGCTGTCAATTTGAACCTCTTTGGAGTGAGTCCTGACTGCAGAAGTACATCAGAAATCACACCATGAAGCACTTTTACCGCCCTACCATGACAGCAGGTGAAATCTCTACTGCCCTTGGCTGTGAACTTGGAGCATTTTCCGACATGTCAGGAGAAACTTCAGGATGAGGCGCCAATGGCGACTCATCCTGGGGATTGCCCCGTGCACCGCCCTTCTTCCTTGAGCTTGCCTTCTCACAAATACATGATGAAATAAGTTGTGATTTTGCATAATATCGTTCTCACCTGTCTTGGAGCAGCTACCTTTCTGGGTTGTTTTCCCTTGATCTGCGCTTCCTCAGTATCATAACTCTTCCTTGACCTCTTCCTGGGTGGATTCCTCCTGGTTGGGCTAGATGCTGAGGCTGTCAGCCCAATGAGGCTGGCATCATCATGTGTGGAGAGCTCTGAATTGGACTGCCTCTCCAGGGGAGGCGATAAGGACTCCTTACTAGGTTGTCTCCTGCGCCGTGAGCAGGATATGGATATGGAAGGTGGTGGGCTCTGAGGGAGAGGAGAGTGTGAAGGCTGGGGGCTCATGGGTGCTAAAGAGCTGGATGAGGGGACAGGATTTACTGATGGAGGAAGTGACAAAGGACCCCATGATGCAGGGGTCATGGCTATTAACCCTGATTGATCCAGGATACTCTTGTTGAGAGTTTTGGGAACAAGAATGATGGGGCTTGGCAGTCGGGGGGGTTGGGGTTGGGGATTTTCTTGTTGCTTTGGCCTTATGGTTGTGGCCACCTTTTTAAAAGCAAATGCTATGTGGCTGCTGAACTCCGTAAAGTGGTTCTTTGCCTCGCTAAAATAGACAAGTGCTGAAATGATGGTTCCCTCCAGTTCCTCCATTCCTGTGTCCACCTGGCCCATGGATGCAACTGGTGGGCATGTGTGTAGTGCCTTGAGTCTAGTTAGAGGCCAGTTCATTGCATACAAGGGGGGACTGTACTTTGATAATACAGTGGGGACTCATGCTGTCCACAATTTTGAGGTTACTGAGAACAAGGATGGGGGACGTCCCCACCAGGACAGTAAGGATCTTGGGTAGTTCCATTGCCTCATGTATCAATTTATTGACATCAGGCCGCCTGGTGCTCTGTGCAGAGCAGGTGAAAGCACATAGAATAGTTGACATACCCAATTGTTATAGGAATGGACCTAGAATCTTATGGTCCATGACTATGAACAATCAAGCCTTTGGTCCCTTCACCTTTATTTCACTGTCAAACCCCATGCCAAGCTTTCCCACTGGGTTTTGGTGCTGGCTGGGGAATTTGTTGAGTTTCAAGGGACTTCCCTTGACCATTGTGACTTTTATATTAGATAGTTAGAAGTCATATGATGTGTAAGGCAGATGCCGAAAAATGTCTTTCTTCATCTAATAGATAACCCACAAAACCTTGTACCATGATTGTAACTGCCACACCATTGTGCCACCACTGTAAGCCTCCTCTGTAATATCTGACTTGGTCCATATCGATGTCTACATCGATATTCTTACAATCTGTGAGAAAACCTCAATGGCCTGGTGAGTGCTCAGACACCGGACCTCACCCTTCCTGCTCCCACCCCCCCACTGGGTGGTTGAGCTCCCATTCCTACCCTTCCTGTAGTACCCTACTGGGTCCTACAACCCTTCCTCCCTTCTTGGGAGGGAGAAGTGACTCAGGCAGCCCCAGGATGCCTGGCCACGTACCCGCGGGCCCAAATTCCCACAGTCACTCACTACCGTGCGCTGGTCAACCAACCTGCCTGTCCCAACAAATCCCACTACCGGTATGCTCCCCTGAGCACCAAGTAACCGATAGTCGACCACTGGGCTACTCCCTCAAGGAGTGCCAACTACCCACGCTACCGGTACGCTCACATGAGCGCCAAGTCACCGCTAGCCGACTGTTAGGTGGCTCCCTCAAGGAGCCCCCATTATACTCGCTGCCGGTACGCTCCTCGGAGTGCCAAGTTACCGTTAGTGTTACAGGAATGGGTTCCGGGGAACCCAACCTGAGCCGTTCGGCTCACTAATGGAGGTGGCTGCGTAGCCATCGGAGGGAGAGCGGAATGGGATGAGTGTCTGGAAGTACAACCTGTGGGTTGGCCAACGGTAACTTGGTGCTCCTGGGAGCGTACCGGTAGCGAGTATGATGTGGGCTCCTTGAGGGAGCCACCTGGCTGTCTGCTAACGGGGACTTGGCGCTCCTGGGAGCGTGCCGGTAGCGGGTGTGCTGGGAGTGGTTGGCTAGCGGTGACTTGGCGCTCAATGGAGCGTACCGGTAGCGTGGGATACTGGGACTCCCAAAGGGAGTCTCACCCAGTTGGTGGTTATCGGTGACTTGGCGCTCATGGGAGCGTATCGGTAGCGGGAGTTGTTGGGGAAAGCAGGCTGGTGGACCAGTGCACGGTAGTGGGTGACCGTGGGAAGTGGGACCCGCGGGTGCGTGGCCAGGCATCCTGGAGCTGCCTGGACCATATCCCTCTCCTAAGGAGGTGGGATAGGCTACAGTTCCTGATAGGGAACTTCTGGTTGGATGGGAGTGACTGCTCAACCACCCAGTGGACTGGTGGGAGCAGGCAGCAGGAGGTTGGGTGTGGGAATGCCCTCCTCGTTGCGGTTTTGTCATGGAGAGGATGAATAGGGAGGTGGACATGGTTCTGAGGTTACAGGTTGAGTTTACAGTGGTGGCTCTAGCTGTACTGCCACTGCACTGCCACCTACTATGGAGGCTCTCAATGAGAAGTGCTGACAGTGTCGGCACTCTAGACACTAGGATTACTGGGGTTGGGTAGGGTTGCACTGCACTGCCACTCACTATGCAGCCTCTCAAGCAGAAGGGCTGACACTGTCAGAGACCAGACTCGAGACGAGGAGATGTCTCCGTAATGGAGGGCTTCGGCCTCAGCGACTTCTGCCAAGAGCGCTGTGCCTAGTGACACGTCCGTGCCCTAGACTGGCAATTAGAACCTGGGGGGGTAACTCTAGTTGATTTTTCTACTGGGGCGTAACCTATGTACAAGTGGGATATATATATGGTTACAGCGGAGACGGTTCCGCAATTGGCGGAGCCGAACGGAGCGGAGCTAACGGGGTTTAACCATTAGCCGACTGAATATTACCGACGAGTCGGTTCACGGGGTTAGTGGAAAGGCAGGCGATAACCCAGAAATGGAAAGGAGGGATAGGCCCGAAGGTGGGCTCTGCAGGGCAGGCAAGTGTATTGCCCAATGGAGGCGGGGGTGCGCTAGCGGACGTCGGAGCTGTCCGGAAGTCTTCAGGGCTCCGTACTTAGGGAGGCGTAGGTAATAAATTGAAATGAGGGGGTGGTGACCATCGAGGGGCGCCGAGAGGATTGCGGAATACGGGGGCTCCGAGGTTAGTGAGGGAGGAGCAGAGTTGGAACGGAGGGATCGGAGGGACCGGAAGTCGATGGCCGGGGATGGATATGACAGTATCCCCTTCTTAGGCCTGAACCCTTGAAGGCCCAGAATTAGTAAGACGAGGGGAGCTGCACTTACAGGAAGAAAAGCAAATGAGAAAATAAAAATGAAAACGGAAGTGAGGAGCGGAGGGGAAAGGAGAAATGGGAGAGGAGTCGGGGTTCCTAAGGAGCTTCGGGTCCAGGCTTCGCTGGGTACCGAGAGTGGAACGCTTCGACGAGGTCGGAGGCGTGATCGAGTTCACCGGCAAGGAGCCATTGTGTCTCCTCGTCGGTCCCTTCATAGCCTAGCCACTTGACCAAGTAGAGCAACTTGTTGCGTCTACATCGGTCGATCTTGGAGTCGAGTATCTCCTCGATCTCGAACTCCATTTCGCCTTCGATCTCTATGGGAGGCGGAGGTGGCTGGTGGCGGTTCGGAATGGTGTTCGGGACGGATGGTTCGATCTGCGAGACATGGAATACCGGGTGAATGGCTCGCATGTTTTCCGGCAGGCGGAGAGTGAGGGAGTGGGTTCCAACGTGGGCGATGATCTCGAATGGGCCGAGGTTTTTCTCGGAGAGCTTTTTGGAAGGTCGAGTGGAACGGAAGTACTTGGCCTTTACGTAGACCGAGGTTCCTACTTCGAAAGCTGGGGCAGGGCTCCGGCGAGAGTCTGCCGGGCCCTGATAACGGATCTGAGTGAGATGCATTTCCTCACGAAGGAAGTGGTGGAGGGAGTCGAGATCGACGGAGTACTCTTGGGCGCGTACCGATGTCAGGTCTCGCTCCGGGTGAACGGTGATGTTCGGATGGTAGCCTTTGTTGGCGAAGAACGGGGAGACGCCCGTGGTGGCATTCGGAGCGTTGTTGTATGCGAACTCTGCGAGAGGCAGGAGTTCGGACCAATTGTCCTGCTGGTAGTTACTGTAAATACGCAGGTACTGCTCGAGCGTCTGGTTCATCCATTCGGTCTGACCGTCTCCTTCCGGGTGATAACCGGAGGTGAAGTGGAGGCGGATGTCGAGGGCCTTACCAAGTGAACGGAAGAAATGAGAGACGAACTCCGGACCCCTGTCGGAGGTGACGTGGGATGGAACCCCGTGCTTGGAGAACACGTGGAGGAGGAAAAGCTTGGCCAGTTCCGGAGAGGTGATGGTATCGTGGGTAGGGATAAAAATGCACTGTTTGGACAGGCGGTCCACGACGACCAAGATGGAAGTGAATCCGGAAGAGGAGGGTAGCTGTTCGATAAAATCCATGGAGATGGAGTTCCAAGGACGTTCGGGGATGGGGAGTTGTTTGAGTAAGCCGTAAGGCTTATGACGGGGGACCTTGGCGCGGGCACAAGAAGTGCAGGAGGATACGTAACTCTTGACGAAGTTACGGATGCCCGGCCAGGTATACTCACGACGCACTAGGTCCAGAGTCCGGTTTTGCCCGAAGTGTCCGGAAAGTTGGTGGTCGTGTTTGTCTCGCAAAACGCGAAGACGGAGATCGTTAGAATCCGGCACGTAAATGCGATTGTCCAGCCTTAAGAGGCCTTCGGCATCAACGGACCAGCGGGAGTTGGGGAGGTTGGGGGAAGCGAGATGAGAAGAGATTGAGGTGTCGGAGGAGAGGGAGGTCAGGATGTCTCGATGAAGAGCCTCTGTGTCGACGAGTACGGCTGCTCGGATTACTGTGGCAGCTAGGAACGTAGCTCGTAAGGACGCAGTGAGCTGCTCCGAAGTGAAGACCGGTCGGAAGTTCTGCGGATTGACGCGAGCGTAGTCCATATCCCCTTCTTTGGGATAGACGTCCCAGCGTCTTGTCAGCGCATCTGGTTTAACTCCGAGTCTTCCGGGACGGAATCGGACTGTCATGTGGAATTGGGAGAGGAACTCTGACCAGCGGGCTTGCCGCCGGGTCAAGAGTTTGGTGGTGGAGAAGTACTCGAGGTTCTTGTGGTCGGTGACGACGTCGATTGGGGTTCCTGAACCTTCGAGGTAATGACGCCATGATCGGAACGCGTCATGAATGGCGAGGAGTTCCTTGTCATGGGTGTCGTAATTGAGCTCCGGCGCCGAGAGTGTTCTTGAGCGGAAAGCGACGGGGCGAATTTCTCCGTCATCACAGCGAATGGAAAGGATTCCGGAGATCGCGTAATCGGAAGCGTTGGTTTCTACAATGAGGGGGGCGTCGGGTAGCCAATGTGTGAGGATAGGAGCGGAAGTGAAGGCCTCTTTCAAGGTGTTGAAAGCAGCGCGACAATCGTCGGAGAATAGCCAGGGGGCTCCTTTACGTGTGAGGCGCGTCAAGGGGACCACAATGTCGGAGTATTGGTGAATGAAACGCCGATAGAAGTTAGCGAAGCCAAGGAAGGATTGGACATCCTTGACTTTACGGGGCTCGGGCCAATCTTGGACAGCTTTGACTTTCTCGATGGACATGGTGAGTCCGGAAGGAGAGAGGCAGTAACCGAGATATTCCATAGTGTCCATATGGAACTCGCATTTCTTCGGATTGGCGTATAGGCCGTGTTTGCGGAGTCTCTTAAGAACTTCTCGGACATGCTCCTGATGTGAAGCCATGTCTTTCGAGTAGGTAAGTATGTCGTCTAGGTAGACTACCACAGAAACGTCCAGGAGGTCGGCAAAGATCGTGTTGACGAATCGCTGGAAAGCCGCAGGTGCATTCGTGAGACCGAATGGCATGACAAGCCACTCATAGGAACCATAGCGCGTGCGGAAGGAAGTCTTCCATTCGTCGCCTGCTGCAATGCGAACCAGGTGGTAAGCATGCCGGAGGTCGAGTCTGGTATAGACCGTGGCACGGCTAGGTGCGTCGAGGAGGTCGGAGATGCGGGGAAGTGGGTAGCAATCCTTCTTGGTGATCTTGTTCAGCCCTCGGAAG